CTGAGATACCGAATACTTCTCACGGACGTCACCTAGTTGTGATGACCAAGCACTCGTACACACGAGTAAAATATATGAGCCGAGGAAGATCCTTAATTTTCCGTAAACATTGCGATTATAGGCGTCCAGCGAGACGAATAGTACGATTATATTATGATTAAATATTAGCCATGGTTTGGTCTCGTCTTTACTATTTGTGGTATCCGTTATATAAGACGATGTGCTGTACGTACTTGAGCTCTAAGCTAAGGTCCAAAGCTAGCTCATATCTTTCGGAGAGCAACCACATTGTTTCATAACCAGCATTATTCACAGTTGTTCGTTTCTAATCATTCACTGATGGAAACCTCTTTGATTCGGCTAAATCCCGAGGCATTGCCTCACTATCCTACTACTAGTGTCATGAAATTCATATATACTCCTGAATACATGAGCCATGCTGCAAGGGCACGTTGCATGCAGCTTTAGCTTTCCGAATAACTTTGAGAACACTAGCCAGTGTTGTTTCATTTTGGGTGTTCACATCATATGGAAACACTATTATGCCGCAGCCTCAAAAAATGCAAAACCTGTACTGTTTGGAGAATATCTAGGTTGAAATGATATGTTTTGTTTGCTCCTAATGACAACTCATCTAGCTCTTGCAGGCTTTAAGCAGAATTTGCTCAGCCTTGTTGACTCTGGGTCATCGTAGCAGTCATGGCTGAGTTCGTGCAAATATGAACCCCTGCATCATTGCAGCAACAAAAGAATCTCAAACTAACTTTGACAAGCTTCATAATGGCAGTAGAATGCTGCCTTCCAAAGACTAAGCGGTTCGTGTTCTAGGGGAAAGCTTTGGACTTCTTCGGGATTGCCGCTGAACAGGCCGGGTTCTCATTCAGCGGAACTAGGGCAATTAACTACCTGGCCTCGTTGGATGGTATTTCACATAGCATATTATTGCCGGAAGAGGTTTTACGCAATGCAGATTCAATCTGGTTGTAGCTGTTAAGAACGAGATGGTTCAATCACCAGGGGTTCTAGTACGGTGAGTACCTTTAGCAGTTTCGGTCGGTTCTGGAGAAACCCGTGAAGATTTTATGTTCAATAAATGTTATGGGATCATTCAGTTAGGGCAGACCATAGATCAATAATATGGGGTTATCTCAACTTGCTTAGACTGGCCAACAGAGATCTTGGTATAAAAAAATGGCACTTACTCATATAAACCAAGCCGTTAAGCAAGCATCATAAGGGTTCATTTGATCGCTTACCGACCGGATCAAGTGTGGCGCAACCAATCGGCATAAATCCTCAAATTGATTATGGATTGCGTTTACAAAAAATCCGTTATGCTGTGTAAAAAGTAACCCCTGCAAATAGTCCGGCAACTTCCGCTTGATCCCTAGACTCTTCATCATATCACTATCAACAACCTACGGAGCAAACACATGTATAAGTAACTACTTCCGGATGTAATTGAATTATGATCGTTTCTGCAAGTAATCATCCCCCACTCCTCTAATGAGGGCATATATCCTAGAAGCACACCACTAAAGTCATGCCGAACGAAAGGAAAGGAAAAGATTGGGCGGCTTAATGTTGCCTTGTAGCGGCACCCTGTGCATACGCATGCCCCAACGGCCGGCCAACTGCCGTGATGGGCTCCAGCCAGGCGGATAAGCTAGTGAGACCTGCTACGCGAGGTTGGCATTGGTTTCTGGTCCCCGGAACTGAGACAGCTTCATAAGGAAAAAGGAAAATGGATAGATGGGTTGTAGCGATTGAAGATCCGGATCTATGACCTGCAAATCCGAGAAGTCTATTGTAGAGTGCGTGTACTTCGGATGGGGACCCGGACTCCGGGCGAATGCTAGTACTGGCGAGCTGGCTGCGACCTGGCCAGGCAGACAGCAAACACTGAGATGTTCGCTAGAAGCACCTTTGAGGGTAACACCGTTGAGGTTTCAGGTTCGGCGCTCGGCGAATAATGGTCCGGCTATGAAGTGGGGGTTTTCAAACACATGAGAAGTTCGTCAGCTACGGCCCGGTTGTTTCTAATATCGTGACGATCTACATGTTATCTTACAACTATCTAGCTGACTGAGCTGATGGTTCAGGTATTAATCTCTACTAGTGCTTGCATCGTCTATTTATCTTTTGCGCCTCAACCGCCTTGAATAGTGACTTCTATGTAGCTAACTTTGCGACGGACTATTAAGAAGTACTTAGCGCCAGGACTAGAACTATGTGTGCCTGTTTGATTGGGATGAAATTTCAGGTGACTGGTGCAGAACGGTAACGTTCGATCGGTCTAGGATCGGCCAAAATGACACGATCGAACGAACGGCGGGTGTCAGAGCTGTCGGCCTTTTTACCAAGCTAAACCACTGGACCCTGCGGCAAAAGTGAAACAGACGGCGGAACCGATGGCCGTTCCCTGAATTCTTGTGGTTCATGAGGCGATGAAGGAGTCGAAGGATAAGTTGATAACGCCAGATGCCGCGTTAGATATCTGGGGCAGGACTAGACTTACCATAGCAGTAGGCATCTAGACCATCAGCACACCGTCTGCGCATACCCAACCTTGCCTAACCACTCGAATACTGCTAATGCACATCGTACATAGACTATGAAGCCTGCTCCCGCAAGTGTGTTACATCATCCGTGTTTGTGGTAGCTGAATGATCTAACATGTTCAGTAAAACAACCCTCGATAAGCTTTGTTGACTTCGGAATAACCCGAGTCAGAGCTCTGAAAAGCTAGAGGTGGGGATTTTCGAGCACTTGGCTACAGCAAATTGGCAATTAATCTATGAGTTGATACGCTTCCGCGCAGTACATTGAACTGGCCACCAATAGCTCTTATTACCACTACGCGTCACCATCATATGAGGCCAAGACCAAACCTATGAGCAATTATTGAGAAAGTGGAGAGTTACCGGCAGCCGAAATAACATGGATAATATAGACTTCAAGTGAGAAATTCTTCAGGCTCGCACGGAACTCTCATCCTAACCTATCAATCTAGCAAAAGCTAGCGTATGAAACTGTGAGTAGTAATGTGCATACATACGAATCACATTTCATGCGTATGCACATCGTTGAACGGCTTATTGTGAAACAAAACCAATGCTGCGGCCCAGCGGCCCTGTGGCGAGAGGTCTTGCATTGCATCGCCAAAGTCCATGAGCATAGTCAAGGCTTTCTAGGAGTTTTATATCTTGTCTCGGAGTTACTCTGTTGAAATAAACCGATCCAAGGATCATCCCGAGAGCTTCGGCATTCGACAAGCGGGGTCGGTCTAATATGGCTGCTGAAGGGGCCAGGAAGAGGTTATTTATTTCATTTGGGAGTATGCTGTGTGACGCCCTGGTCAAAGTTTACTCGCATAGCACACAATACGACCCAAATAAACAAAGAAAAGGTACACAGCAACTAGAACAGAAGGCCCGGTGGGATGCATGTACCACTTTCACCGTACTCGCCGTGTACATGTTAAATTAGCTCCTGTCTGTCGGTACATTCCATCACACGTCTTAAGGTTAGGGTTTTGACGATATTCAGCATTTATCTGCAGACCTGTGAAGTCTTTGTCCTTCAGTCACCCAGAGCTGATCTTCGGGTTATTTGAAAGACATGCAGGTTCGTATGTGGCTTACGGAGAAATAACTTTGGGACCCAGATGCTTCTGAGCTGCTTTGTACGGTCTTCGAAGCAGCTTCGCCAGCTGCACGAAATAATCTACCTGTAGTAGGCAGAAAATACTGGCTGGCCTTAACGAGCTCCGTGTGGCATGGTGCACGCACACGGCATGTGTCTCAAACTGCGCTCTGGTACGGACGTCACAGGCAAACAATGTGCACCACCGGTACCGACGGCCACAGCGACGGTGCACAACAGCAGCGCTGGCGCACGTCAAATCAAAAACCTCCCAATTGTGCAATACAATATAAGTAGAGTAAGCCCGACCCAAACAAGCGTCGTCTGCACGCCTCAGGAGTACATAAGGAAAAAAGGGAGGTACCTACATACTTGCACACCTGTGCCTACAGAATTATTTTTTAATTTTATTTGCGCAGTGTGTTTATTTCCAAGTTTAATGTTCCAATTGATTGCATGCCCCCCCGCGACCCCGGACATTCCCCGCATCAGGCGCGCCACACCTTCTCAACCGGGTCATCGTTGCAGATGTCGCGCATGCATGCCGTGATGTGCGATATAATTTACAGGTGTCTTTTTCGTCTGGAAAGATTTGCGAGGGCGAGAGGCGGGGCGGGCGACCGAGAGGGCATCCGGCCGGCGCCGTGGCATGCATTATGGCGCTGCCACGTGTGACGGGCGGTAGCCCTAACTGCACCAGAACCCGGAGACGGCAGTCGTGGAAGTCTTATTCCACCGGCCGGCCGTGGTCCCAGCGCCCCTTTTCCACAGGTGTGACCCACGGTTCGGAGTGATTGGCTGCTATAACAGTCGGTGGCTTATTTGTTATGACGCCGGATGACGTTGTGGGTGTTGTTGGGGTGGGCGGGATTATTCAGGCGGTCAAAAGATCTCACTCGGGCTCTACGAGTGACCGTATATGTAGACAATACTTGGTCTTGTTGAAGAAAAAAAAAGGCTATACTCTGGAAGAAAACTAGTACTTAGAATTGTGTAGCTAGTAGGAAATGGTTTTGCCAAAGATCAGAAGGGGCGGCGAGATTAGGTAATCGATGTTTTCATCATAGTATCTCACCCATTATCAAGACTAATCACATTTCTGAACACATTCCAAATGTCCAAAAATCATCAAGGTAGATTTGCCCTCTAATGGTAATGGGAGGGCCTTTTGATACTCTGTTAGACTTCGTTATTTAAACTAGCGGTGATGAAATACTATCGCTAAACACATCTCAAGCACCTACGCTGAGAAAAATCTCAAATTAGGTTCCCCCAAGCATATTGACCACACCTCCGGTATCCAGACCTTACCGGTGTGAAAAAGCAACCTCGTAGACGAGGACAGCAAAAGATTTCGACACTGGCAGGACTCGAACCTGCAGCCTCTGGCATCGGAAGCCAACGCGCTACCATTGCGCCACAGTGCCGATTGATGAATATTGTTCTCTGTCATGACTAATAAACTAAAATATCCTACATGACCCAATGTATATACTGGATACTCGTACGGTCTGATCTACAGTCAATATGCTACCTGTAACTCGTATGGTTAGTACATCTTCATCGGTGTTCAAAAGAGAACCCGTCACATGCAATATGTGTGTTTTCATCAGTATAATTCTAGTTCAAATAGCTTTTTATACTCATTATCACGCGAAATAAGATGCAGCCTCTAGTAACTGGATGTTCGCTTTTTGGCCATCCCAAAGTATCCTTTACAGGAATCGTATTTGTTGTACTGGATCCCTGTGTGCAAATTAGCAACTGGGTTTGAAGGAGACGAGGTTTGAAGATCGAAGGAATTGAATGTTGAAGATGATTCAATGTACTCTACAAATAGAGTTTAATAGATGTGCAGCAAGTAGCCGTCCAAAAGCGCCTGCCAACATCTACCAACGCATGCCAAGACAACATTCCACCGGAGCACAAACAAACATCAAAGTTTGCATCAAACAAACAGAGAAACGCGCTAAGAACGTAGCGGTACAATACATTCTCAGTCATCTCCTTAAAAGCTTCTGACTTCCCATTAGTTTTGCTTTCAACTACGTTAACGACTATCTACAATGGCAAGCAGCACCGGCATAACTGAGAAGCTTGAAGAGATGACCACTCAACATGATGAGACACCAGAATCGAACGTGGATGATACCAAACCTACCAAGCAACAGAAGGCGGAAAGCGAGACGGAAAGCTATCCCCCGACGACCCCCCAACGCAAGGCCAGATCGCATACAGACGGTGATGACATGATGAATACACTGAAGAAACTGGCGTTTGTTGAGGAGAAAAAGAGTCAGCGAAAGATTGCAATGGCCAACCAACTAGATACTCCAAGTAGTGTTGGGAAGAAAAACCTTACCCAGAGTTTCAAAAACTTGAGAATAGATTGAGGGAGAAATGAATCAATTTTATGATGATATAGCTTTCTAAACAAACCTGTTACATTGGTATCCTACGGACCACGGGTCTCTCGGCACGGGAAATAATCAGGACTATGAGATTTTGTACGATAAAACTAAATACATCGTATCTATTATATATTATCGATCCAGATAAGCTAAAAGATCATGTTTCTGTTCGAAATATGCCTTTACTATCTAGTTTAAGTCTTCCGTACCAGTCTCCTATTTTACCGGGTTACATCGCCCCGGTTTTATCGTTATTATTACAAGTAAAGGTTCATGCTGTAATTTTAAAAACCTTTGCCATACCTCCTGTTCAAGTGCAATAAATTCCTCGCCAGTCTTAGATATAATTTTTATCGCCTGCCTGCCTTCCATACGTTCCGAATTTGATTGAGGTCTAATGGGCCAGATGCCTGATTCATGCGTTTCATAGTATCCATAAACATATTTCTTAGGGCTGAAACAAATTTTATCTTTCATAAGCTTTTTCATCTGAGGCGTGAATTTTCCATATAGCCAAAAGAGATGTATGGCTACTATATGTATTGATGGTGAGAAACCATGATGTAACGAACAGACTTCCATGGAATGCAATTTGCACACTTGTGTTCTGATGAATGATATTGCCTGTACTGCCCCATATTAGTAACCATTAGTATTCGCTATATTTAGCTACCGATAGCGATAGAATCGACAATCGCCTTGCCACCACTCGTTGATGTCTTAGCCCTTGAGATACGCGTAACTACCCCGCACATAGTGGCTTATGGGGAAGCATAGAATCTTATCCTAACTTAAGGTTGCGCACAACTGCGTACGTGTTGATATGCGGGTCGATGGATTCGTCATGGTACGTTGCAGGTTACAACCATTGGTGGTCGTTACTATTGCCGTTACCAGTGGGTTTCTTGATAATAGAACGGCTGTTGTCACGGGGAAATGAGTAGTTGGATTTAAACTGACCCCACTATGAAGAGGCTGTGCGAGTCGTGTATGTAGCTAGTGTGTTCGTAATATGCAGATCTATCAATACTGACCATGTGTGCAGATCACTTACATAATCCATCGTTCGAGGTAATGCTTCAATCCCTGGGAGTCTGTACTACAGAAACATTTGTTTGTGTAGGAAGAAAGCACCCAGTTCCGTGCACGAACATTAAGGTAGGTGCATGTCTCAGCCTCCAAACATGTGCATAGAATATGATAGTTTGTACCACGATGGCCGGTGACTGGTTATGGCCCTCTAAAAATGCGCAGCAAAGTTCAAGGCTCAACATGAAACTCGGGCTTGATCCAGGGATGAGCGAGACTCAAGGGCTATTGATGACTATGGAAATTCGTGTTTTATCCATGCATATGTAATTCTGGAGGCGCTCGATCTCCTACACCCCCCACACGGTTTATGCAGCCAAGGTCGCAATCTTTTGAACGAGTTCATGTTTGGGCGGCTGGTTATATGGCTTGATCTGAATGACAGCAGAGAAAGAAGCCCCTTACTACGCGATGTTATAGTTCTCACTTTTGATAAGCGGATTATGTCCTGTCATCCGGTTGCCTCGTTGATATGTAGAGACGTCGGGCTCATCATTGTCAATAACCGCTCATCTTGCATTAGACTTTTGTCAGCAACAGTAATCCACCTCCTATGCACAACCACGCGGTTAAAGTATTGAGCTGTAAATTTCCATCGCAAGAATGTAAGACCATTAGCTTAAATTCAACTGAGACGTCTTTGAATCTCTGTGCAATTGATTCCTGCGCGCCAGTGGCGGTTGAATGGCGTCGCAATTCGTTCTCATAATCAAGGATCTTGCTGTTGCAAAAGTTGTACAGGCCACGCAGACTAAACGAAAGTGACATTAGGATGTTAGGGTTCAAGGTGTTAATTTTTTGAAATTTGACATCAGGTCATCTGAGAACCACCCTCGACCTCGCCTCCTCGCCCCAGACCGACATTTTGTTTTGTTTTCTGAAACTTCCCCGACCACCCTCGGAGTGATGTTTGCAGGGAGATCAGAGTGTTCAAGTATTGCAATTTTGATGGTCTAGTTGATGTTGTCTGTTATTCCAATCGATGCAACAAAAATACCATCATCGAGCTAACAAATTTGCAACAGAGAGTTTTGATTCATCCGCATTATTTTTTTGATTCCTTGCATATTTGACCCGTCCGTGGCTTTTCTTCCTGCAGCTGCAGCTTTTTCGACGCTACTTCCACCGTAAGCCACACGATAGTGCCCAATAATTGACGCCCTCGTTTTCGGCCTTGTGTGAAAGATTCCTGTTGGGAGATCTCCGAGAACCCACAGTGGGCCTTAATCTGAATTAAGTGAATTTCGGAAGTATTATCTCTCGTCCGGTGACTTTGATGAGTCAAATAAATGAGTCTAATGTGTTTTCAGATTGGCAAGATTTTCGTCTTGTGCTTGGTATTAAAATCCGGTTGATGTATCCGGCGTCTAAACACATGCGGCGACACTGACCACCGTGTAATTTATGCAGATCTGCGGGAACGGTTAACCAAGGCTGTCTTACCGTACTCTACATTTAACCGCGTCCGATACTCGAGAGGTTGAAAAGTCGGTGTGAGCCTTGCAGTTGCTTCACCGTCGCTAATAATAAACAATTATAGCCCTCCCGCATCAACCAGAAGGGGAAGGTATCAAGACTCTGAAACAACACTACCACCTGGCTGGGGGTTACGTCAGGTTTGCTTGGAGGAGCAGCGCGTCCTCTCTTTGGTGGGGAAAAGGAATCGTTTTCGCCTTTCTTACTTTGCCTTCTTTCCATTCTTCGAGAAGCCTTTATAAAGGCACCCCAGCAACAGACCGCAGCTGGTATTTGCGCTGTTTCAGAAAAAGAAAAACCCTTCCCCATATAATCTTACGCAGTCCCCCAGTGCTACAAAAAAAACAAAGGCACGTTTCTTACTGTCGACACCTAATACATTCATCCATTTTCTCTCACCAAAAGGACACGATGCTCGTCGCCACGATACCGTTTCTTATCTTGGCTGCCCTGGCGTCTACGGCCAGCACCTTCGCCAGCTTTCTCGAAGAGGCCCGCTTCAATGGCTTTCACAGCGGTGGCGCCGATAACAGCACAACTTTCAACTCAACCATAAACTCAAAAACCGCCTCGGGTGTGCCAGCCGTCTTACAGAATTCATCTTTCATATCAGGCCTAGGTGCTCAGGATACCCCTACGAACGGCTACGACTGGAGGCATCGCCTTACAGCCAATGAATCTATGGACACAGAAATCCCTTCAAGTATCAAGAAGAACAATACAAGTGGATACTTTCCAGTCAGATGCCTCTGCACTGTCGACGCACTCTGCGGCTGCAACGAGCAGCAGGATAAGGGATATTGGAAAGTCATGTACGAGGCTCTTTCCTCAACCTCGAAGGACCTTTCTACGAACGTCAAGATGTGGCCAATCAACGACATATGGACGGTGGTAGTGAACGGAACGTTGGGCGCGGCCAATGCCGCCGAAAACAGCACGACCAACTGCGAAGCATCAGGAAAGACCAAGGAACAGTGCGCAGATGAACAGAGCATAGCAGCTGGCGTAAAGGCTGCTAGTACGGCAGCAATAGGCGTGGTGGTCGTCGCAATTGGATTCTTTATTATCGCATGATCGGGAGCTGGCTCCCACCAACAACTCGATTCGACTCTCATTTGTTTTTTACGGGGCTCTTCTAGGACGGCGTTATCTTACCGGCGTTTATTTCACTCTCCTTATTTCACGGTTATGGCAACACAGGTATGGGGGTTTTCACGGCATCAATGAATTTTAACGGAGCATGTTCAGCGCGGCGAGTGGGAGGTTCGCTCATTTTTTTTACGGGACAAAAGGGAAAACGGTGTACAGGGTTATTTTAGAATTTTATACATGCATCTTAGATAGAATCTCTGCAACATAGCAGGCACATACAATAATTTAGTCACGATATTGAAGCACTTCATATACATCATTGCATTGTAATAACACTTGCGGGTCCTGACGATCTCGGG